CTTCTCTCTATCCAACTTCAACTTCACCATCACTCTAACCACCTCTTCCTTCCCCCATGCACGGATGCGTGCCACTCCGGTTCTTTCATAAGCCGGCACTGCCTCACAGCCCGACCAAAAATCGAACAGTGCAACCTGCATTTATAATAAAATTTATATTTTTATATAAAAACACAAAAAAGTGATTCAACTCATTTACCTCTAAGATTGCTATGCACCCTTTGAGGTATCTCTGGCTGCCCTTTTTAAAGGTGATTATTGATTCAATCAATCTCGAATGGATATATTCAGCCCAATTGAATTCACCCTTCAAGCCTTCATCGCAAATGAGCTTCATATATTCCTTGTTCGTTGACGTATCACCCGTTGGACAAAGAAATATCCCGACAAGGTACAATAGAACTCGGGCCTTCAGCTCATCCCCCAAGTAAGATCCACTTTTGATATCCTCTTCAACTTCAGTATATGTCACCTTATGATTCAAACCATATTTGGAGGCAAGTGCTTTCCAGTTCTTACTCCTACAGACTTCTATAACACTTTTGCCTTTGTTTTGTACCCCCAATACGGCTGCAGCAGTCGATACCCCCAGAGGGAATGAATAATCACCATACTTAGCCATACATTGACTGACGTCAAATTGTGCCATCAAGGATCGACACAATTCCCTCCGAATAGGTCGATCCCTTACTCCGATCAACGATCCAAAACCTATTTCTCCCAGCACATTCAACTGACCCTTCTCCTTAAGGTGTTTAATTAATAAATTCACCCTTTTAATGCTGCACCTTGTCGACACTTCCTACATTTTTTAACAATATATAATGTTATAGTTCTTATATATTTTGTATCAACGTATTTACAAGTTTAATGAATACCTTATTTTCATGTGCTTTCCTCCGTTCTTTGTATTCTTTACTATCATTCCTTGACTGTGTGATGTAAGGTTCCTTTTCAGCATCACTCATTGAATTCCATTTGGACCTCACATTTTTTTTTCACCTAATATTAAACATAAACGTTTCTTAATCAATACATTAACACTAAATACTAATACTACTCAATGTCAATTTCATTTTACATACCGAACCGCTCTGTGTGCCATCTCCCTTCATCCTTTTGCATTCGGCCATACTGTTAACATTTAAAATTTGTAATCAATTTAAAGTTTATCGATACTTTAATCCAATTACCACTTCAACAATAATAACAAAAGACATTGATACTTACTAGAAGTACATATATCCACCCTTTGGTTGCTTTCGAGTCTCGGTCTCAATTTCAAAGTCATCTGCTCCACCAACAATTTTCCAACCCATTGACTCCATTTTTCCTTCATATATCAGTTTACGCAAATCAAATTATTTTGTTACATACACTTTTCAATATACAAATATAGATAACTACTCTTGTGGTAAAACGGTTTTCTTCAAAAGAATTTGAATGGCCACACCAAAATGTGTCGGCACATTTATACAACCTATAATATCATTTTCTACCTATAATATTTAATAAAAGTATCGACATTTATATTTTTCCTTGAATATCTATTTCTACCTGCAATCGGTCCCAAATGCTTCCTTACTCCAAAACCCCAAACAACACATAAAAAACCCTATCGCGATTACTGTAATAATAAAAAATTAGGGTTTCGACAACATACTTTTCGATTCGACTGCAGCAACAAACAAACAAACTTCGCTTTAGAAACGCCTTCTGAAATGCAGCAACAATTACTCTTCGATTTCAAAACTCGTCCGTTCTATCTTTTTTCAGAGGATATTTAGCTATGGCCTTTATATTTTCATCGGATATGTTATTTATATTTAATCGATACAAATACAAAAGTGTCGATACTTTTATGTCAGGTGTCGATACTTTCGAAAGGATAATTACCTATTTCTTTGAAAGTGTCGATAATTTATTACACGTACTTACGAAAGTGTCGACACTTTCAATATATCCGGTATCATTTTACCGGTTTTATCATTTTGTTACCGGTTTTATCATATTTTTACCTGTTATATCGTTGTGGATCGATATATTTTTTTAAAGTATCGACACATTATAGGCGCTATAACTGTTTCTCTTTTAAATTCACAAAGTGTCGATCCTTATATAACGTATCGACACTTTTAAATTTACCGGTTTTATCATTTTGTTACCGGTTTTATCATATTTTACCTGGTATATCGTTTTGGATCGATATTTTTTAAAAGTATCGACACTTTTTAGGATTTAAAACTGCTTTTAAAGTTATGTAATTTATGTTTCAATTTATTTAATAGTGTTTCATGTTTTCCACCTACAATATTAATTTAATAATTTAATTTACACAAAATTATATTTGATTGTTTTGATATTTTATAAAATATTATTTAGAATTTAAATTTAACAATATTAACCAAATATAATAATAAATATGTTTTCAACAGTGAAATAAGTATGGACACTTTTATAAAAATGATATATACTTTTTTGAAAGTTATGTAATTTATGTTTCAATTTTTTTAATAGTGTTTCATGTTTTCCTCCTACAATATTAATTTAATAATTTCATTTACACAAAAAATTATTTGATTGTTTTGATATTTTATAAAATATTATTTAGATTTTAAATTTAACAATATTAACTAAAGATAATAATAAATATATTTTCACAGTGAAATAAGTATGGACACTTTTATAAAAAGGATAGATAATTTACAATATAACAGGTAAAAATATGACAAAACCAAATTCATTATGACAAAACCGGTAAAATTTACTTGATATGTTAAACGTATGGACACTTTTATAAAAAGGATAGATACTTACCGATAACCAAAGTTTACCGGTTACCAAATTTTTTAATAGTTTTTCATATTTTCTACCTAAAACATTATTAGTTGTCAACATAATAGGTACCGCTAAACCGAATTTATTAAATACATTTTAATGTATCCGGTAATGCTGTATATTAGCCGTATATTAACCCACCTTTCCTGAGACAATCCCAGTTACAGTACCCAAAAAAGCGGGTCCTTTTGTGTAACTGAAACGTTCTTTAATGATGTCTGGTCACGTATGGCTGTCGGAGAATCATGGCCGTTGAAGTTTGATCAGACGGTGAGAGATGGATAATAGGACAGTTGGTGGTGGCACGTGGTCGCACGCCTTCGATGCATGCAGAGTGTACGCGGGCACACGCACCGCCCTCCCTCAAACCGTTTTTCTTAACGTTATCCATGTGATTTTCATGTCAAAATGGTATTTAAAATGATTTTTTAAATATAATCCATCCAAACATTTTTTAGGATAAATTACAACAGTTGATCATTAAAGTATTAAACTTTTATTTTGGTCACTAATAATAGAATTGAAACCCAGTCATTAAACATGTTTTATTTGTTGAAAAAATGGATGTTTTAAAATTTTTGAGGCATGTTTTTAACTGATAAAGGTGGAGATTTGAACCATAAAATTATGGTTTTATATTATATCTCATGAGACCTTTGTAACAATTTATCACATGCTCAAAATAAACCACTTGTGAATTGTGTGTAGAAAGTACAAGACAATACTTTGTCTAGCATGAAGATGCAAGGGATATAAATCGATACAATTTTTTTTAAGTAATCACTGGTATATAATATATTGATCGATTAATCTAGATCGGGTACTACAGAGACAAGGGCGACCCTCCCAACTAAGTTTGCTCTATTCACAAACGTCAAGATTCGAACCTCTGACATTGCTTAAGGGATCTAGTGTTTCATCCCACTAGATCAACTAGCTGTTGGTTAAATTGATACAAATTTAAATGTGACTGGATTAGAAATGTACTCGCATGACATGACCGATGCAAAATGTTCATATTAGTTGAACTTACGAATATTTTATCCCAAATCATAAAACATATAAAATAGAATTCATGCTTTCACAAGAAAGTACAATAACAATATTCACAGAGTAATGCAACGAAAAACATTCAATAAATAGAATATGTTACCTCGATAATTGCACACCTTGAACATGTAATATGTACAACAACATGGCAACAACATGACGTGGGAGTGAAGTATAAATCCGACTCTACCTTACACAAGTTGCCTCATATTTTCTTATTTGATTTACATACCCACCATATATATATATATTTATATATTAAATTAATGTAGGATAAATTGTGTGTTTAGTATCTAAACTATTGGTTTTGATATGTGTTAGTACTTAAACTTTTAGTTTTTTTTAAAATATACCTAACATTTAGTTTTTATTTTATTTTAATAAAAAACTTAACGGAACAACATTTTTATGAGTCTCACTCCTATTTTGATACTAAAGTTTGAAAATTTTCAATCTAACTACTCAAATTTCAAATTGCTCATATTTTAATCACTCCAAGTTATTTTATTAATAATTTTTATGACATGACATTTTATTATTATTTTATTAATATATAGTTAAAAATAAAAAAAATTGAAAGTTAGAGTGAGTAAATTAGGAGTAATTTGAAAGTTAAGTAGTTAAATTAAAAAAAATAAACTTTAATGATCAAAATAGGAGTTAGAAGATAGTTGGGTGATGCATTATGTAATTTACTCATAAAAATAGTGTCACCTGCAAATCACTCGTTAAGTTTTTAACGGCGAGTTACTAAAATGACACAAAAACTAAATGTAAAGTATGATCTTGAAAAAATTTAAATTTAAATATTAAAATAGATCGAAGCCGATAGTTTAAGTACTAAACACATAATTTACCCTTTAGTGTATCATAACCTTGTATGTTTTTCTTTTTATTAATATAACCTTGTATGTTAAATACAATCATTATACATTTTACTCAATTATAAATTTCGATATTTTGGGTTTTGGATTGGATAGATTTTGACCCAAAGGTAAAAAACCTTTAAATTTAATGCTTATGCATGGGAAGACGATAAAGATCTCCTTTGATTTGAAAGAAGGAAAATTCTAGTCCATTATGAAAGTTCGGTTCTCTATGCGTGCATTGTGCTGTTATTTACGTACACAAGTAAACCATTTTGCAGCTGGCTGGCTGCTATTGATGTGTTTGCATGAAAGATTGTGTCATATCAAAAGATATTGCAGTTCATGAATAAGCTTTAGGCTTATAGTAGTGCATTCTAAGTATGTTGACCATTCCTTTGGTGAAGCTTAAGTGGAATACCCATGGCTGGATAAGCAAAAGCGCATTTATCCTTGCGTATTCGCCTTCAGGGCAGATCCGGGGTCCGGCTCCGAATGGAATGTTACTGTAAGGAGGAAGCAATTTCGATGAATCCTCAAACCTTCCCGGATCAATCACCTCTGGATCTTTGAAAATGTTGTCATCCACGTGTGTAGCTGCTGCAAACCAAAACACCTGCATTTTGTATATATGTATGTTCAGATATGTTAGATTTCTATCTAAATAGAATTTCAACTTTGAATCATCTTCCATCCTTTGGGGATGTCGAAGCCATCGAAAGCTGTGTCTCTCTTAGCGCGTTTGAAGTTACCGAAAACCGGGGTATGCAACCTCAACAGCTCCTGGCCTACTGTCCATGTATATCATTTGTATTTCACTCCAAGTTATAAACTTCACATCTTTTCCTTCAATGGCCTTTGCTACTTCCTTTTGCTCTACATAGATGCAAATGAAATATTCATAAACACACAAGTGTCGAATCAAATGGTTAAAGCAAACCTTGATTTCCAACTACCTTGAAGGACCCTGTTGAAAGTCTCCCTATCCCTTGCAAGGTGTCTTATAACATGGCAGACGAGTGATGATGTTGTGTCATGGCTAGCAATCATCACAGAGATCAGATTATCTATGATTTCCTCCTGCATCAAAGGGTCACCATTTTCATCTCTCAGCATAAGCAAACCAGAGATAACATCATTCTGATCTAAAGAGCCTTGTCTCCCCTCTTCCATTTCTTTCTTCCTTTCCTTTATTAGTTTGGAGAGAAGCCTAGAGATTTGGCCCCGTGCCTGCAACGCCTTACAGTATGATGTCCCTGGAAATTTTAATAGAACAGTCCACAACCCTGTGATGGCCACAAGAAAATCTTGAAACAAATCATGTTTCTCCTTGTTTTCTTGTACTCTGAAGAGTAAACTGCAGCTGACATTGGAAGTGATTCTCTTTATGACTCCCACCATTTTAATGTATCCCTATCGTTTAGTCCCTGGAGCAGCTTTTGATGGACTAATGAGTCCATGGAGGAAACAAATCTTTGGATGCTTTCAGGTTTCAAAAAGCGCACTATTGCACCTCTCACAAGCTTATGCCGAGGCCCTGGAGGCTCAAAGGTGCTGTGTTTTCCAAGTATGGCTGCCACTGTTCCGACTTGGTTGCTCGAGATGCCGTTGTCTCGCCCACCGAGTACGAAACGATTACCGGCCTGGAACCACGACGTTTGAACCCATGAGTGAGGTCTTGAACACCGGTCCATACTTGTTTACATGCTTTCGAATCCAATCTGCAGTTCTATCATTTTTATGCGTCCCCAATGAGAGGAATCCCCAATGACCCTGGAGGAAGTTTCTTATCTAAAAGAGAAAAGATCCTGAACTTGAAGTATGCAACAACAATGGTAATCAAGGTAATCACTGTTGATTGGTTTCATAAGAAAGAAGTTCAATAGTAAAGAGGACATCCATAGTTTCTTGCACAAAGGTAGAAGTGGTACATGCTTGATTAAATAGAGATACTTGTTGCACATTATGATGCCTGACAGAACTATCATTGTATTTACCAGTCAAAGTCTTTAAGAGCTTGCTGGTGACATATCCACTAATATTTGTTTTCTTTAGGACAAGGATGATCTTAATTGGCAACTCCCAATGTCAACAACATGTTTTCTGATCCAACCCTTATATCAGTTTCTTGTAGTTTGAAATCAATAAACTATGCCCAACAAATGCGACTAACATAAACAATCTAAGAAGTTGATTATTATGATGTTGATATCATGGTCAAGGTTAATTTGAATAAAGTCTTGCGCAATTTTCAATTAACCAACCAATGGAATCCCATCACCAATTTTGAAGAAAACACTAACTATGCTGTCTCTTTTGTACATTAAAACTCAAACAAAAATTGTATTCAAAATCTACAAAGTATTCCATGATATTAAACAAAATATTCGAGATTTCAAAACAAGAAAAAAAAAGGGAAGATCATCGTATATGAATCGAAGAACACCAAAATCAAAGAAAAAAACAGTTTTTAAAAAGAAATGATTTTTTTTCACAAACTTAAATGAAAATAACCACTAATTATTATAAAGGAAATAATATGTATCGCCAAAATCTTCTCCCACACCTAAACTTTACATTATCCTCAATGAAGAACAAAGCATATTGCTCCAAAAAAATGAAAAGGAAAGGAAACTTGCCTGATTTGTAAGCAGTTCGGATTAAGATAGTTTAAGAGTGATGGTGGACAAGGAGGTGGAACTTCCCAATTCTGAAGGTTGTGGATCGAAATATCCCAGAAATTGAACTGGAAGAAAATAAAAAAAAGGTACAAAATTAAATAAAGCATTTAGTTTGTTTTTCAGTAGTTCCATGGTTTAACATTGTTTCGCTGGACGGAGCCCTGAAACATTTCAATCGTCCAAATAAGTTGGGTGGTCCAAACCAAAGTTAACGAGGCATGTAAAAATTTCTCCTTTATGAAAGATTTTCAATTTATGACCAATAGCTTTGAAATTACTACTCGATTCTAGACTTTTAATTTCTCACCACAAACAAATACATTAGTATGGAGATCAGATCATCAGATCAATCACTTTGCAATTACTACTCGATTCTACACTTTGAAATTATACTCCGATTCTGGATTTTCAATTTATGACCAATCACTTTGAAATTACGACCGTGTCACCTGGGAGTCTCTCTCCGATTCTCTTAGGGATTTTGGTTGTGCTTGTGCTCCCCGGCTTCATCAGATCATCGTGCACCCAGTTACTTCTTCTAGCATGCAGATCCTTTGGAATGGAACGCTAACTATAGAGTTTAAACCCTCCAGAGGTATCCGCCAAGGCTGCCCCTTTCTCGCATTTATTTGTTTTGTGGTCCCCGTTATCTCATTTGTTTTTTTGAAGATGATCTGTTTCTTTTCTGTAAAGCGACTCCACCAGAGCCATCCTTGACCAGTTCAGCTGGTTTTCAGGTCATAAGGCCCACTATAACAAAACCAAAGTGTTTTTCTTGAACAATGTGACCGACTCTTTGCCGCGAACCTTTGTTCCATCTTGCTCTTACAGAGATCCTACAATTTGGGCACGTATCTGGATATGCTTTTTTTTCATAGCAGAGTCACAAAAAGCACATTCCAATTCGTTATTGACAAGGTCCGAACAAAGCTAAGCAAGTGGGTGGCTTCGAATCTCTCCTTGGCTGGGCGCATCGCTCTTGCCAAATCAACCTTGTTGACCATTCTGAACTACTTCATGTAGACTGTTGCCATACCCAAAGATGTGTGCGATCAAATTGAGACGATAGCTCTCCGTTTTATTTGGGGTACTACTGTGTCTCCTAAGATCTCTTTGGTTAACTGGGAGTCCTGCTGCCAACCTTTATCCTATCGCGGACTTGGCCTCCAGTCCCTTCGGGGTCAGAATAAAGCTTTCTTAATCAAACTTGGCTACAGTTTATTAATGCAACTTGATAATCTGTGGGTTAGGTTGTGTCGCTCGAAGTACAAACTCAAGATCATTCTCCCTGACCAGATCAACGCCCGGAATTGCTCCTTCGTTTGGTCTTCCCTATCCAAAGTATGGTGTTTTATCCGAAACAATATGTGCTAGTCTTTGGGGAACGGGGAGAGCACCAGGTTCTGGTCCGATGCTTGGATCCCAAGGAAGCCTCCCTTGGCGGATCGCATTAGCAGTGCTTGTACTTATGACCCTGAAGAGTCGGTTGGAGACTTCACTAATGAAGATGGGGTTTGGAACACTGCTAAATTCCTCCAGTACCTTACCGAGGATCTTATTCATGAAGTCACTGTTGTCCCTCCGCCTCATAAGGATTCAGGCCCTGATTTACCGATCTGGCGTTTGAATCCCTCTGGCTATTGCACTATCAAATCAGCTTACCAAGAACTCCATTATGATGCCTGGGATCGAAAGGCTAATGTGTGGAATTTGGCCTGGGGTTTTGATGGGTCCCAATGTGTGAATACCTTCCTCTGGCTTATTCTTAAGAACCGGTTGCTTACCAATGTCGAAAGGATGAGACGCGGCTTATCTACGGATGCTAAATGCAGTTTAGTTATTATTATTATTGGGATCAAAAACGAAATTAAAACATAATACTAAATCAAAGTGATTAAACATAATTGAGTGATTAAAATAAAATAAAAGTGATAATTAAGACACTAAACATACAGTTATCCCTATAATTTAACTATCATTTGTGATTAAAAACAAAAAGCTTAAAAGGAAATTATTCGGGTCAGCTCTGTAACTCTCTGAGTTCTCCTACTGAGATCTCAAATCTACAAAGAAGGACCAGAAATGCAGGATCCGCAAAATATGAATCCGAACCCAGATCCACAAATTCCCTCGAATACACCATCAACCCCGCAAAGTATACCGTCTTTTCCTATCCCACCCGCATTTAGGGGCTCTTACCACAGGCGAACCCAATCCGAAGTCCAATTTCGGATTCCAGTCGACTTGGATCTCGTCTCCGACCCGTTCGATGGGTTAGGATCCGAAGAAGATTTGTTTTGTAGTTACATGGACATTGATAAACTAGGGGAATCATCAATTGTAGTCGACAAAGGAGAGTTAGCTGCTGGGTCTTTGAGCGGTGGATCGGCTCAGAACCCGAAACGAGAGGAAATGACTGGTGGGTCCGACCACGGGGAGAAGAATAATAATGGAGGAAGGAATGGAAGGCATAGGTATAGTAATTCGGTTGATGGGTGGTCGATAATGGAGTCAATCGAAGCTAAGAAAGCCATGGCTCCTCATCAGCTTGCTGAATTGTGGGCTGTTGACCCGAAGAGAGCTAAAAGGTTTGGGAATCAATTCTATTTCCCCCCCCCCCCACAATTTTTTTTTGGGTTTTAATGCATTTGGTTTAAGGTACTTATGATATTGAAGAAGTTGTAAATTTGTAGCTTTTTGTATAAAGTTATTTTTTTTTCTTGTTTATTTTCGTTTCTGTATACATCGAAACTATTAGACGAAGATGATGACATGTTCTTGTTGAAAGAAATTGTATTTTTGGGTTATAAACGGTTATGATAAATATATTTAGCTCTTCCCCCCCCCCCCAAAGGAATTATGATGGTTTTGTTTTAGTGTTTGTTTATCATGATGGTAAAGCTGATTTTTTTTAAAAAAATGATTTCTTTTCTTCTTTTTTGGCTGTGTGTGAATGGGGTTTGGGGCAGTTTAGGAAGTAAAGTGAAGAACGAAGTTGAAACTTCGTTTTCAATTTAGAAAGAAATATGAGGATTGGTAGAATTTCTAAAAAGTATTTATTTTATTTAATCAATTCATGTCAATTATGAGTTCTTTTTCCTAATTATAACTGCTCCTTTAAGAATTGATGTTTCTTAGCTCAATTTCTTGTTTCCCCTTCACTTTTCTCACCCCTTGATGAAAGAAATTTTGTTATATTAGGAAGTTTTATTTACGAGAACTTAAATGTATGCAATTTTATGAATCAAATTCATGTGAACTACCACTTATCTTCAATTTATACGGGCTTCTCAATGGTTTGCTTTCTTTTTCCATTTCCTTCGGAAATGTGATCTAATTTATTTTTCCTGATTTTTCTGCTTTGATTATCGTTTAATAGATGCCATGAATTCTAACGGATTAATATTATTAGTAATTAGATCAGAATTTGCTTTGCATACTATCTCCTTACATTACCATTAGCATATCACAAATTACCGACCTGTTCAATATCACTCAAACAGTCAATAAAAAGACTTATTGGTAGCTATGGGATTCGTTAAAATTATAATTGGAATTTTGGCACATTTGAGCACTTCTACTTTCATTTAAGTTTGATTTAAAGCAATGAGCTGTTCTTTCTAAACTTCAGAATTTGTGGTAGTGGGGATTGGTAAGGAATTCCACTCTGATTTCCAATATCTGGAATGCTGTAACATTTTCTGTTGTTCATTTTCTCATATATAGTAATGATAACTTGTATCTTGCCTTAAAAGCATAAGCGTTTAGTTTAGTGAGGTGGCTGACCTTTAGATGGATTCTCATCTATCCACTTAACACACCTCACCTTTAGTTGGAACAAAATTTGCTAAAATAAATTTGGCAAATCTCGTCATGTGGTGGGATTAGGTTGGCACTGAAGTTTTTGCTAACAAAGTACATACTATTTTTGTAGGATCATTGCAAATCGGAGGTCAGCTACCCGCTCTAAAGAAAGGAAAGCCCTATATATGTCTGAACTGGAGAGGAAAGTCCAAACACTTCAAACTGAAGCAACTACTCTGTCCACACACCTAACCCTATTCCAGGTTTTTGTCAAACACTTTCATGTCTCATTACATAATTTTGGGTCTTGTTTTTGCTGCTGTTTGCATTCCGTATGAGAATCTCATATCTACATATTAAACAATC